GGTTCCGACCCATAGCGACCCTGTACAGGGTTTCCGAGGGTGTAAATCCTTACGGGAGTAGAAAGCCTCATCTTTCTCCCGCGGAGCGGCTGATAGTTTCGAACCGCTGACCTTTAGGTTCGCAGCCCAATTCGTAACCACTACACTACCAGTGCTGCGGGTTAAATGCACTGGACTGTAAGATTGGTTTGAACCACAAGGTCAGCGGTTCAAGCTCACCAGGCACTACTTGGAAACCCTATACAGACAGGGTTGCTGAATTGGAACTGACTCGACACCACTCAGCAACAACTACTACCAGAAGGGTTGGCAGTTCAAGGCTACCTAGAGGTGTCTCAAAAGAATGGCGTAAACCTTTACTTCTCAGACTACAGCCACTGAAAACCCAAGAGTACAGTTCTATTCTGACACACATGGAGTTGCCACGAGTCAAAACAAATATAACAGCAACTACTTTTTGCTTAACTTTTATGTTGCTCTTTACAATCATGGGGAAAATTGTACTATCAAATAATTTCTAGCATATCACCAAAAGGATATCATTTGAGCAATCATTGGTAGGAAATATATACTAACACAGGCACCCACAGAGATAAGGGGTTGTTTGTCCATAAAAAACTAAGGAAGTCATTTTCTCCTCCATTTCTATTTCTAATACGTTCTTTTTTAATGATAAATTAGTCACTTGAAATACATAACATTTTACTCTGAATGTTGTAACAAGTGTAAATTGGTACAATTTGATGAACTTGACCTATACTTATTATAGATGTAGTAGCTCAAAATACCAACTGAAAGCGAAGGATTCTTCACACCAAGGATCAATCCTATCCCCTCTGTATATAGGGTTGATAGGGACAGGCAATTTACACATTGGCTACCTAAAATGGGGGGCTATGAAGGCACGAAATGATTGGCTTACAAGTTTTCATGAGGGAGTTTAGTTTCAGTGTGTGTGTGTGTGGGGGGTGGGCAGAATCCCCACTGAAATAGTGTTCATCTTATCTAGACAGGTCTGGTGAAAAGAGATGGGGGTAAGATTCTTATGATTCAATAGTAATTGTTATCATGACTAATTGTGACTGTCACAACTGTAAATGTAGATCTTTCAAAACAGAGGAGTAGTTAATCTTACAGTCGAGGAAGAGAAGACCCTAGGACCATCAAGGGGGAAGAGCATGTGCGGAATGTAGGACCCTATCCAGAGAAGCAGCAGCACCAGAGATGGAGGCAGAGATGAGGGCATGGAGAAATAGAGCAGTTGAGGATTCTAGATTCATGGAAAGAGAAAGGCTGTGTGCTTGCAGCCAGGAGGTAGGCTTGCAGAATGTGACCTTTGATTGTTTAAATGATTACATATTCCTAAATGTTTTTGTGTACATCCTCCCACCCCCTAAAAAACGAGGGAACAGAAGCAAATATTGTTGAATGATGATGCATGGAGGAGATTGTAATCATTGCAACGAAATGATGAATGTAAAACTGATGTTCCCCCATGTAAAGTATCATTCAATTCACAATAAAAACTTGAAAATAAATAAATAAGGGTAACACTTACAGTTTAGACTTTGTGCTACTTAGTAAATCTTCTTCATCACTGAGTTCATTATCTGAATTTGTGTCATGATCTGATAGTTCACTATTTTCATCCTGTTCCTTTTCAATTTCCTCCTCAGCAGCAACCTCATTAGCTTTGTCTTCTTCTTCCAAGTAAAACTTTTTATCAGCACTCAATCCAGGAGTTGTATCAATTACAAACAATGCAGTGTCATTTGACATATTCTCAGAGTCTCCATTCAGTGATTCCCTTCCACTATGACTTTCAACAAAACATACTGTGTCTTCCTCATTCTCACCGTTTTCAGACAACTGGCTTTCATCACTGCTGAGAACTAATAAAACAGAATCACCCTTGTCCTGAGATGTGCTGAGCTCCAAATTAGAGAGTTTGGTATCATGTTCAAAACTTGCATTCCTTTTATCATTCTCCTCTTCACTGACACCTAAAACTGTACACTCTTCATCAGCAGTGGCACCAAATGGTGTCAAGTCACTTGTTTTTATGGTGCTGTTATCATTCCATCTGTCCACTTTTACAACTGCAAATGTCTGAGTTAATGATTTCATTACACATTCTAAGTTCAGATTTGAGGGTTCTGATATAGTTTTGTTTTTCTCTGGAGTTGAATGCTTTTGAGAAACTAATTGCTGAAGGCTAGCATCCTGAGCCTGAGAGAGACTCAAATTACCTCTTCTATCATTAATTTCTTTTCCTTTATTTGTTATTCTTTTGGTTTCCTCATCTAAGTCTTTACAATGTTGCTTTTCATTTCCTGGTACAATCTTAACAACTTGCTCTTCAGTTAATGTCTGTAATTTTCTGTACACGCTCCTGGTTGTTCTCCTAATGGCAATTTCTGAAACTGAAGAAATGTCTGAGCATGATGACTCAGCATCAGAATTATCTTCTGTATGTGATTCTTGGCTTGATTCTGTTAGCAATTTAGCTTCCTTTCTTCTGGTTCTTGTATTTATTACTGTGGAAGGCACTGATGTAGAAATATCTGAAACATGAGATTCTGTTTCAGAGACTTCATTATTAGACTCATTTACCGGTGTTCTTTTCTGCCTTTTCCTCACAGTGGACACTGGGGTACTTGGAACTAAGATCTGTCTTCTTCTAGTTATTCTTACAATGGGATCCTGGATCTCAGACACAGAACAATTTGATTCTGCTTCAGAGATCTCTCCTTCAGCAAGTGGTTCAATCATCTCTGGTAATGAGCCTTCAGTTTTGCCTTTCCTCTTTCTGATTTCAGTAGTTCTAGAGACTGGACTATTTTTCCAAGTGGTATGTGATTCCACAGTACTTTGGTCATCAGACTTGGATTTTTTTACGCTTTCTGGATGCGCTTTAATTCCACAGGCAGCGGAACTCTACAAGAGAAAATACTCTAATTTAGAACGAGGTACTCACTGCAGAAACAAACCTTAATGAGTCACCAAAAAACTCAGTAAGTCGTAAAACCGAGTGTGAGGATGGCGCCAAGACCCGGCAGTGATTCATTTGGCTGTGCGGTGAGTCGACACCGACTCGACGGTACCTAACACCAACACGCCTCTTAATTCCGGAGACCAACACAAAATGTTACTAATGCTGTTTCATAGCAAGAACTGCCATAAATGACCAGTGAGAACTAAACGAGATACTCTAAAAGGCTTAGCACGGGGTTTGCTAACAGAGCCTACCACACGCGGGGCTCTCTCGCGCCTCCGGGCGGAATCCCATCTCCCTAGGCGCCGCTCTACAAAAGGGTCTGTGATCTCCTACCTTCTGCGTGGATCTTACAGCTGACGTGCTTTGGATCCTGGCCTGAGGCCGCGACGACCTGGTGAGCACCATTTTCCCGACGACAGACTCCGCGGAGAAGCACGTAGCTTCCTTTGCCCCGACGCTACGGAAATACGTCAGAGAAGTGTGGCGCTGAAGTTTTTCGTGAGAATCCCGAGGCTCGCGATAGCTAGTCCCTGCTTCACTGGGCGGGGCTGGGCAAGGTTGGTCGTAGTTAGAAATGATGGAAGGTACTGGTTTCAACTTTTCTCCGGCTTTGTAGACAAGAGTATATGTCTTTCCAGGTTAGATCAAAAATCCCTGCTATCAATTTCCCAGGGTCTATGGAAGTTCCCTACTTTGTCTTTGTTAAGTGTCGACGAGTCGGTTCCGATTCATAGCGACCCTGTGTAGGGTTTCCTTGTAGTGACTGGTGGGTTTGAACTGTCAGCCTTACAGCCCAATCTGAGCGTGCAGTCCAGCGCAGTATCCCGCAGCGCCACACCAGCAGAAGGGCAATGCACTCTCATAGCCTGCCCATTGAAGCCAGCACAGAGACAGGGGAGAGGCGCGGTGACGCTGAGAGAACTATATGCTGGGATGCCTTTAGTTTCTTTTAGAAGAGCTGTCGCTGGTCCTTCCGAGCGCTCAGAGGGATCCTGAGGCTTTCTCCTGGTGCCCTGATTATAATGTGCTCCATGGTGCATGAAGGACTCCTGGTGTGGCACTGTAGCAAAAGCAATGGACTGCGAACCACAAGGTCGGCAGTTCAATCCCACTAGTTGGTCCTCGGGTTGCTGTGAGTCGGACGGACTCTATGGCACTTAACGATTATGGTGCATGAAAACCTGAACATAAGGGATATCATTCTACTTTCCTTGTCTTTTGCAGAAAGGATCTAACTGAAGGATACTATTGTAACTGGTGGACACATTGGATGACCAAACCTCTGGGTTGCCTAACATATACAGGAACCTAGCTGTGTTACAAAGGAAAATCATCTTCCTTTTCTTTATGCTGTCCATGCCTAGAACAGGGGTCTTCCATAGTTTCAGGATATTCCCAAAGGGTTTTCTGCCAGTACGGACTGGCTTTATCCCATTTCCCTTAAGAGACCCAAAATCATGCGAGGTGCGGAACCATTCCAACCAGATCAGCGACCTGATCCTCTAGCTATCCCATAGGAGAAACTGAGAGGCATCCTTCTTTTCACCGGTTTCCCCCTGCTCAGGGGAGGATTTGCTAGGCCTTCCCTTCCAGCTCATCACCAGACTCACTTAAGTCAATAAAGGCTCCTCCCCTACTGTCCCTCCTTTCTTTCCGTCTCCCAGATCCTAATTGTTGTTGTTAGGTGCCATCTAGTCGGTACCAACTCATAGCGACCTTGTGGACAGCAGAATGAAACACTGCCTGATTATGGGCCAACCTCACTATCCTTGCCACGCTTCAGCCCACTGATGCTACCACTTTGCCAATCCATCTCAGTGGGGGTCTTCCTCTTTTTCTCTGACCCTTCACCTTACCAAACGTGATATCCTTCTCCAGCGACTGGTCCCTCCTGACAATTTGTCTTAAGTGTGAGAGACGAAGTTTGGTCATCTTGGCCTCCAAGGACCACTCTGACTCATGCAATCCTACCGTTTTCTTCAGACCAGCAGGGAACAGGTTCTCTGTTGTTGTTAAGTGACATTGAGGTGATTCCGACCCATAGTGACTCTGTATAGGGTTTCCAAGGTGCAGCTGGTGAGCTTGAACCACCAACCTTGTAGTTCAAATGACTTTGCAGTCTGACACATTAGCCTATAGCGACATACCAGGACTCCAGTTCTCTGTTAGACTCATGTGAATCTACTATCTGTCATTCAGCACTTTCAACACACACAAAACGGAAGGAACTAACGCTGTAGGAGAGGGCGAGAGGGATATAAAATGAAAGAATAAATTATTCACCAACTGAAGCACCAACCTGAAGTCTGATCCCAGATGAGCCCCCAGATGTTAGGGTTCAATAACTTGACTTCTGCAAGTGTAGCATGACCCACTTGAGGTTGATGCAAACAGCACACTCATGCAAAAAGCAGCAAGTAGCAAGCAAGGTTTATTAAGCAATGACTTGTACAATTCCCAGATGGCAAGCAAGTGTCTCTCTCGCGAGTAAGATAGCATGCAGGCCTTCTGTTCTTTCTCCTTCTTTATAGGGTTTTTGGCTCATCTCTTTCAGATTTAATTGATTGGTGGCAGTTCTAGGCAACATGTATTTTTAATTTGCACTCTTTTTGGTGGTCTAGCACTGCTCTGGACTCCTGGTGTGGTGCTGTGGATTAATGTGCTGGACTACAAAGTCAGTTTGAACCACAAGGTCGGTAGTTCAAGTTCACCAGACACTCCTTGGAAACCCTGTTGTTGTTGTTGTTAGGTGCCATGGAGTCGGTACTGACTCATAGAGACCTTATGCACAGCAGAATGAAACACTGCCCGATCCTGGGGGTCTTCCTCTTTTTCTTTGACCGTCCACCCTACCAAACACGATATCCTCTCCAGTGATTGGTCCCTCTCGACAATATATCCGAAGTATGAGACACGAAGTTTGGCCATCCTGGTCTCCAAGGAGCACTCTGGCTGCACTTCTTCCAACACAGATCTATTGGTTCTTTTGGCAGCCCATGGCACTTTCAATACTCTCCTCCAACACCATAACTCAAAAGCATCAATTCTTCTACAGTCTTCCTTACTCACTTTCCAGCTTTCACCTGCATATGAGGTTATTGAAAATAGCATGGCTTGGGTCAGGCACACCTTAGTCCTCAAGCTGACATCTTTGCTCTTCAACACTTTAAGAAGGTCTTGTGCAGCAGATTTGCCTAATGCAATATGTCGTTTATCTCTTGACTGCTGCTTCCATGAGTGTTGATAGTTGATCCAAGAAAAATGAAGTCCTTGACAACTTCAATCTTTTTTCCATTGATAAGAACGTTGTTTATTGGTCCAGTGGTGAGCATTTTTGTTTTGTTTTTTTACATTGAGATGCAATCCATACAGAAGGCTGTGTTCTTTGATCTTCATCAGTAAATATTTTAAGTCTTCTTCATTTTCAGCAAGGAAGGTTGGATCATATGCATATCGCAATTTGTTAATGAGTCTTCCTCCAATCCTGATGCCATGTTTTTCTTCATAGAACCCAGCTTCTCAGATGATTTGGAAACCCTAGACAGGGTCAATAAGGGTTGTAACTGACTCAATGGCACTTAACAATAACAACACAGCACTGCTCTATTTCTCAGAAGGTATGCAGGCTGTGTTCAGTTTCCTGGAATTGTTGATTGAATTGCCAGATGTTGGGGTGTGGTTAGGCTGGCTGTTAAGTGCCTACTTTGTCCTTAACATTCTGTATTAGCAAAGTTTTATTATGGGAAACAGATTTGCAACCTCTCCTGAACAAAGCCTTTGCTGAGGTTTAAAAATTTGTGTGTGGTTTTTTTTTTTTTTAATTAAAAAAAAAATTTCATCATTTTGCTAATTGTGTGCTCCACCACATTCATAGTTGTGTTTGCAGGAAAGGTAAATACCCATGTACCAATATCTTCTTTCACACTCATGTCTTTGAGGGACATACCTATAGCTCTGTCTCTCTCTCTACATATATATCTCTGTCTTCTGGTGTGGTGCTGTGCTATAAAGCACTGGACCGCAAGGTCAGTTTAAACCACCAGTTGGCAGTTCAAACTCACCAGATGCTCCCTGGAGACCCAATACAGGGTCGTTATGAGTTAGAATCGACTTGACGGCAATCAACTACAACAAATATCTACGTATACCATTCTTCCTGCCATACCCGTTCAACCACTGTGTCTCTGTCTGCAGAAGGTTGTTCCAAAGTTGTGTCTATATCACTATTTACCTCTATCCCCTTTAGCCCTTGCACACCTCCCTGTGCCTTCAACTCTCTTCATCATTCTTCTGCCAACTTCCCTCTTTTTGTATATTGCCCTCCCCATCACCCAGTTAACATGTGTCCACCTGCTAGCCCAGGGATGGGGAACCTTTTTTCTGCCAAAATTTATAACATCATTTGTGGGCCATACAGAATTTTCTATTTAAAACTTAGCCTGCTATCGATAGGGATGGGCAACTTAAGCATTGTTTACCTAAAATGAGGGGGCAATAACGGCATGAAATGACTGGCTTATAAGTTTTCAAGAGAGAGTTTTGTTCTTATGATTCAACAGTAAGAAATTGTTATCATGACTAATTGTGACTGTCACAACTGTAAAGATAGAAGTTTTGTAACAAAAATAGGGGAGTAGTTAATCTTACAGTCCAGAAACAGAAGACCCTAGGACTATCAAAGGAGAAGTACACAAGCGGAATGTGAGACCCTATCCAGAGAAGCAGGGAAACAAGAGACGGAGGGAGAGATTAGGATGGAAAGAGGGAGCAGCTGAGGACTCTGGACACATGGAAAGAGAGGGACTGAGAGTTGGTGGCCAGGATGGAAGCTTTTAGAACGTGCCCTTGGTTGTTTTAATTATTATATATTCCTGAGTGTTTCTGTGTATATTCCTCCCCTCAAAAAAAAACAAACAAAACAGAGGGAATGGAAGCAAATACTGTTGAATAATGATGCACAGAGGAGATTGTAATCATTGCATTAAAACAATGGTGTAATACCATTGATCTCCCATGTAAACTATCACCCAATTCACAATAAAACTTAAAAAAACAAATGTGCTAAGGGTTAATGCATTGGACTGTAAGGTCGGTTTGAACTTCAGGGTGATGGTTCAAGCTCACCAGCCACTCCTCAGAAACCCTATGTTGTTGTTGTTGTCAGGTGCCGTCGAGTCGGAACTGACTCATAGCAACCCCATGCACAGCAGAACGAAACAATGTCCAATCCTGGACCAACCTCACTACCACTGCCACACTTGATGCCATCAATGGTGCCACTTGGCCAATCCGTCTTGTTGGGGGTCTTCCTCTTTTTCTCTGACCCTCCATCTTACCCAGCATGATA